TCTGTATAGCAAATGATAAACAGTCAAGGGAATATATGAAATTATAATGAATTTTCATCATCTCTGCACACATATGGAGAGTAAGCATGGCTTTGGCCCTAACTAAGACTTGGAAAAAAATGTTGGTAGGGTTATTTACTTATTTATTTATTTATTTGACAAAAGGAATATTCAAAGGAGATCCAGATATTCTGGTTTAACTATGAAGAAATGACAGACTGTAATAACCCTGAAACACCACTTAGGAAAAAAGCTGGCTGGCCTGACCTGGCCTCATTAGGAATTCCTCTTGGTCCCTACGATGTAGTCCAGTTAGGTAGGTTTTTGTATTACTCTATGCCTTCCCACATCAAGACACCAGCCAATTATTCCATAGCCCTCTTAATGGGGATCATGGTATGCTCATGTGGTGGCTGTGACTTTCAGGTACGTACTTCTGTGATGCTCCAGTGCAGGGACTGGGATATCATTTCTGCAGGAGCAGAGACTGTGCCCATGTGTGCACCAGTGAGAGGTAGCCCCAAACAGATCCATCGGTGACACCACTCCAGTGCTGCCAATGTCTGCCAGTTTGTGGCTGTGTCCAGTTTATGTGACAGGAAAAATTTTGGAAATATCAGCAGAGTGACCACATAATAGTGATGTATAAGAAATGCATTCATAAATTTTTCAGATGCTAGCTTTAAATATATAGACAGAGTTACTGTTGTATGGCACTTGGTCTCTTGGAAGCTTGATTCACAGATTTCTGTTTAAAGTCCTGAAAAGGAATGAACTATGTTGTGTTCCTCAGGAGAAAGGCCATTCAGCTATATGAAAAAGAGTAGCAAGCTGGAGTTCTGCATAATATTCCCTTAGCTCCATTAAATCTATAATAGTAACATCAAAGTCCTACCTTTAATCTTCTAAATCTGGTCATCATTCTGTTACTTTGACCAGACAGTGTAAATCAAAAGAAGTGCTATAACTGTGCAGTGGAAGGACCTTGAAAAATCTTTATGTTAAAAAAGAAATGTATAGGATTTTTTTGAACCTGAGTCTTCAGCTGCACAAAAAATCAGGGAAAATCAGAATAATTGCCTAGATATTGGCCCTATACTTGTCAGTGTTGACTATGTTTTGTGCAGATTTTATGTGCAAAAGACTATCTTTCCTTCAGAATGAACAAAGACTGCAAAAGCAGAGATTTTTCTGGATGAAAAAAGGTTTCAGGGGTATTTTGGTTTTGCTTGGTAGGAATGGACACAACTCAACACAAGTTATCAGCTGAGAAGTGATTTTCATGTTCTCATTTACTGCCAATGTTGTCCTCACTTTGTCACTTTTCACCAGAATAACTCCATCCATACTAATCTTCAGTAGAAAACTAGACCATATTGTAGCACAACTGCAAGGAATAATTTAACTAAGTTTAATAAATGTGTCTTCATGGCATGAGCCTTTTGTGAAAGTAAGACTGTTGACAGAAGTCTGATTCTTGCAGGATTTACCTGTCACCAGCTGGCCCATTGTTAAACACAATTTTGTCTGCCTACATTAAGTTCTACTAAACACTGTTTTTCAGGCCTAATTTATTTTATTCATGGAAGAAAACTTGATACCCAAGAGTACCTGGTAATATTAGGAACCTGTGCCTGGCTCCTAATTCTCTGGCAGTATGCTAACAATATGCACGACTGAAATGTCAGCACTTACCAGCAACTCAAAAAGAGCTACGGCAAAGTTGTTCCTGGTCAGGATTCAGCAAAGTCATGTAGACACCTAGCTCTGACATGAACAGATCTGTTATTAGGTTAGACATGTAGCTTAGTGGGTGTAAATGTTTTCTAAAGGAGTTGCTTTTCACGTGGATGAACAAAAGTCCTATAAATTGGCCAGTGGTCAAATGGCCCAGAGACCTGGGAGCCAGAAGACTTTGCCTCCAATGTTTGTTTGCAGTGTGTGTCTCTGGCTCTGGTATTATCAACCACTCACAACCTCAAGTAACAAAATGCATATAATAGTTGAATTATGTATTTAGACTACTGAGAGAGTAAGTTACTTTTTTTTTTTTTTTTTTTTTTTTTTTTTTTCCCCCCCACTGGAGTAGGAAAAAAAAAGAATTTAGCTGTGAAAAACTGGGTAAGAAGTAGGGCCTTGCTGAAAGTGACATATTACATCTGAACAGTTGCACTCTTGGATAAACAGAAATTACAGAGTAAATAACAAAATGCAGAGAAATAAGATCCAAATTGAAGTGTGGAAATTGTGGACTGTAGAAGTGATTACTTTTAAAAATAGCTTTAAATGTGTATTTGTTCTTTGAGTTTCACTATAAATTGTAATGAAGTACCTCTAAGTTCAGATGTGAATGGGGCCAAATCTTGGAGTTGTTATTTGGACAAACAGAAAACACTTAAAAAATCAATCTTCCAACTGAAAATAACTGTGTTTTGACTCCCTAAAGATGGCAGGGGTGGGTCTGATTATCATAGTATTCTGCTGCCTATTTATTGTACTAAGCATCTGCTATAACCTTTTGGACCTTCCTTGTCATTCATGCTTGATATAAACTAAAACTACACAAAAAATAGTGGATTTTAAAAATCTCATACATTCTGTCTGTAATTATCCTGGTGGCATGGTGTGACCTGCTGATTCAGTTCTTATTGAGATGAATATGAGCTGTTAGTAGACCAAGGTTCAGTGAATACATTAAATCTTGAGGCTCCAATCAATCACCCACTTCCTCATGGCAGAGTCTAGGATGTCTGGAAAATAAGAAGTAACAGAGGTGATTAGAAGAGACTTCCTTACATGCAAAAAGTCTTAGAAAAGTTGAATCTCAAGTTTGGATTCACTTTTCCTGAGGACTTAATAAGTTTGACTTTTGTTTTTTACTTTTACAGAGACACACAGGAGAGCAGAGTGTTTCACCGACTCTTTCCCGGTGAGCCAGTGTGCTAAGCAGGGACTGGCTAAGATGTGACACTTTGATACAGCCTGCTTTGGCTGCTCCATGGGGTGACTAATACATAGCAGCCTTGTCCAAATAGGAATTGAGCACCTTTATTTCTTGCCTGAATCCACTTTGCAACTGGGGCTCAGCATGGGGAATCTGTCACTTCCCTGCAAGCAACTTCAGAAAGGAAAGGCAGAAAAGGAAGAACAGTCACTTTGGACTAAATTTTAAAGGCAATGCTTTTACCCTTCCTAGGGAATTGGTCAAGTGGCTCTTCATACTATTTTTTCTCTTAGTTGTCTGACCTAATGGTAGAAACGGTTTTCTTAATATCCAATGGTATTGTTTCCACTGTGTGCACTCCAGTGACCATCATGATTGATGCTATTAGGGAGCAGAGGAGCACACAGTAACATATGAATGATAGTGCACTTCTTGCCTTGTTTCAATCATTTCACTCATATTTTTCACATAGTCTTTTTTTCCTTGAAGTTTACCGTGTGTATATAGTATGTGCAGTCTTTCACACTCAAACCCACTTTTCTTGCTGCCACAATGGATGTTCCACTGATGATACAGTCAGGGAATACTCTAGAGACAATGGGTGAAATATGCGTCATCTGCTGAGCCTCTTAAGCTTTAAATGCCCCACTCATTAAATCTGTATGGCTGGGCTGGAAGACAAAAGGACTATTTCCACCCCCAGTTACCTACTCACCTCTCAGTAAGGTCTATGGTAAGCATATATTGGGAAATTTCTACTAATAGGAACACCAGGCTATGAAGGCACATAGAGGATAGACAAATTTGGAGTTAGTCATGCTTTTTTTTTTTTTTTTTTTTTTTTTTTTTTCCTCTATATATATAACCAGGGTGGATAATTATATGTAATTCTTTGGGCAGTTGTACGTTATTTTAATACTAGAGTAAGTACCAGGTTCCTTTTATTTTGTGATCTCACTGTACTAAGCAGAATTTTCATGTCTTGTGGATTTTAAAGTGACAGAATTATATTGTGACCCGGTGAAGACCGTAACATTTTGACAGGGCAACTGTCTTGACTGGGATCACTTAGCAGAGCTGGGGACTGAGCTTGTCTTCTGGCTTCCACCATGATCTTCCATCCATCACTGCCTCTGATAGAGCAGTGAGCTGGATAGATGAAGCCTGAACTCCTGCTTCTCAGGCCCACATCTCAGTGCACCTTCTCAAAAGCTAACAGGAGCTTCCACTTTTCCAAGGAAAATAATTAGTATCTGCTTCATGCAATGAGATAGGAGAAGCTATGCTGATACACAGTTCTTTCATTAGAAATATTTACATTCTGAAAGTGATTGCTTGTTTAGTTTTCAGAGTGTAATCTACAAAGATGCAACTAAACTGCCTTTCTTCTGGGAAACATTTTATCTGTCTGTCCCATGCTAATATGATCCATCATATGCTGCACATCTTTCTTCATTTCTTCCTACCTATAAATTATTCAGAACCATTATAGCTAAAATTGTGAATCAATGATTTTATTTCTGTCTTCTGAAATGTTAGAAGGGATTTGGCTTGGAATGAAGGGGATGATATCCTTGTGAGACTAGGAAATCAAGAATCAACTATGACTGGCAGGCTCTCTCACAGAGAAATGAGAAAAATGGGTAAAAATATCTGTTCTAGTTAAAAAATATTAGAAGACTTAATATAAAATATTTAAGCCTATACAGCTTAGTCTGTAGAACTTACTATCAAATATAACAATAAGCATGTCAAAGTTTATAGAGCCCTTTGCTAGACAACTCTATATCAACTTCCTTACTAGAGCTGACTCAAACTGGTTAATTCCACTTCAAGGGAGAAATGTAACCTCTTGTAGTAACCCAAAGATTTAAGTCTTTTCTCCTGAAAAAAAAAGAAAAAAGATTTAATCTTCTATAACACAAGCTATCAAGTAATTCATGATTTCTCTTGCCTAGAAATATGTAATCCTTTACAATCACATTCTGTAATTCACTCTGATTGACAGACGTTTCCACTTAAGTACTTAAAAAGACACCTCCCAGGAGCATGTGGGCTTAAGATCAGAGGTTAAACTCCGTTTATCAACCTAAAGCCTCCAGCTGTTCTCCAATTTAGAAAGGGGTGTTTGTACGAGAGGGCAAGGTTTGAAGTTATTGTTGGGTTGTTTTAGGCAAGCTTTCACCTTGATTCTGGTGCAACATAAGGTTAAGGTAGGACTATAATTTCATTTTAGTTTTCTTCTTGACAAGCCTCACCATCTTGCATTATTACAGACAACATGGGTGTCCAGTGGGAGAGACAAGGTTTTGCACCTGATAGAAAGCAGATCACAGGAGGTGATGGTGCAGTAAGAGAAATAAGACAGGGACATTGTTTTGCAGTTGCAAACATGCTAGTTGCAGAATGCTGGTGTGATTCCCATTTTGGTCCTGATGCATGAACCTCCTCCTCTGTGAAGAGTTATATGCTGTTTGTGTAATTTGTGGTGATGTGACTAGTGGTGTTATAGTTCCTACTCTAAATAACATATGCCTAACATTTTCTAGATATACTTTTAAAATGTGTGGAAATATAGCTCTTATTGCTAGCAATCCTGCCTGCAAGGCACAGAGTGCAATATAAATATGATACGTCAATAACATAGGTAGTATTAAAGTGATTGTATAGATTTATATTAGAAAAATCAAAAGTTGTATCACTGCAGTATCGGGATATGCATTAAATTTTAATTTGCATCTAGGATCTGTTAATACAGCTTTGCCATGTTGTTCTGTTTCAGTTGTTTCTTTTGTGGATCCATGGATAATTCTGTAGTCTGCTCTTTCACTGGAGCACAGAGAATTTCCTTTTCTTGTAACTAACATTAATGGCAAAGTAATGTATGTAATGTATGTAATGACATATTGTTACGCTATAGTAACACCTAAGTATGTCCATACTGCGCCAGAGTCCTACAGTGGTAGGAGCTGAAATGTGATGGAAATAGTGTGGAAGGTAGTAGGAATACAACTGGGTGCAGGCAGATGGGGAGCACCCGAGATTAATAAGACAGCCCTGGTTAGTGTGACAGGCAGCCATCAGACTGTGCTAGTGGGCTGCTTGTTGTTAAATGCTTTGTATGCAAAGGGAAGGTGGGCTCATTGCAGTCACATGCAGCTCAGAATTCTCAGCAAGGTAGGAAATAAAAAAAAAAAATACATTCTGAGGTGATGGGAACCAGTGTTGCTGGCTGGACAGGCATCAGTAGCATTATTACAGACAACATGGGTGTCCAGTGGGAGAGACAAGGTTTTGCACCTGATGGAAAGCAGATCACAGGAGGTGATGGTGCAGTAAGAGAAATAAGACAGGGACATTGTTTTGCAGTGCTGATTTGAATGACTGAGTTGGCATTTGTCAAGCCAGCAAAGAGCAGCCTATGAACTTTAGGAAGAGTATTCAATAAAACCGAATAGCTCAAGCTGATAGTCTGTGCTACTGTAAGATGACTATCCTAACTAGTGATGATCCTGGTTGTTAAATATGTGTCTAGATTCAATGCACCCTGAGCTTCAGTGATGCTTCATTTTCATGTGAATCCATATCTTTGTGACAACACGGAGCATTTGCAGGATCATGCATAAGCATGAATATCAAATTCTTTTATTCTTCCTTTTGAAAATCTGGATGTGTTTCAATCCAAAACTTCTAGTCATTCCCTTTTCCTATCTCTGTGATCTTATGCTGAACCAGAGTACCAGGCTGTAAACAGAAGTGCTGTTTCTAGCAAAAATCATGATAAGTTTTTATGAAGTTGTATCTGCAAGAAGTTTCTTTTTTCTTTCTTTTTTTTTTTTTGTTTAGTGCAAAGAAAGAAATTAATCCCATGGTGACATATAATTTGTACTCATTAGCAGGAAACAGGATTTATACAGGCTCGAAAGCTATTTGTTAGTCTAACACATCAGGCTAAAATTTTAGCCACCACTGATTGTGCATTGTTGACTTGACAGCAGAAGTAACCATAACTTAGACTTAATGAATGCTTTCATGCAGTATGCACAGTCCTCCAAGAGTCCTTATTTCATACTATTTAATGCTGTGCTGAACAGTTGAGTTTGATAAAGGCTGAAACATTCAGAATTATGCTTTCATTTGAATTTTAATTTTTTAAAGGGGGAAGGCAGATGGTATTGTTTTACAGAGAGAATAGCCCAGCATGTCTTACAATACTAAAAGTCTCTTTGAGCCCATCTGATACTGGTCTCTGAGTTGTCTCTGCTGGCATCCTTTGCTTACATACTGCCTTCAAATTGCATATATTAGTTCACTATCAGAGTAACTCACGGGCATGGAAATCAGCCATGTCCCATGAAGGTCACTGGAATCTTGGTGATGGAGAATTCATTCCCAAATAAGCAGCTTATGTGTAATATTGATGCTAGTCTTGGTGCCAAAGGCTTCACTTTACGAATGAACATGAGCTCAAAAGGCAAGTGCTAACTCACAGCAATAGACATATCTTTGGAAGTGCAGTCTCCTTATCTAGTATCCAGGAACAAATTATATCTAAATTGTTCCCAATATAGGTTGTAAACCTGTCTCTCAAGCTCACACGCAGAGGCTTGAGTTCCTCTCAATTTTCATGAAAGAATAAATAGAACTAATAAACACACCAAACAAAATGGAACTGTCTGATTCCTTTTTTTAAACTTTCCCAAATTCTTCTAACAGGATACCTGCTGTGGAGACCCCTTACTTCAGTGTCTGCAACAGATAGCAATCTTCCTTCTATACCTCCTATTTTCCTTAGCCTTTGTAGAAAGATGTCACCTGACTCTTCCCATCTGTGGTTCCCTGGTTCAAACATCTGTTTTAAATCTCAGTAATCATCTATTTTAATCTCAGCATAGGTTTGTCTTAAAATAGACAAGACTGTTCTCCCTCATAAATCTTTCCTGATGCTTCCACATCCTTGCCTTTCCCTCAAAAGCTTAGGCAGCATTGTCTGTTATTTGCTCAGCTCAACCTCCTAGATAGGAGTTCAAAGCTTTTGATGCTGGAACAATTCTGTCTGAACACCTTGTGGGGGTGGGGGAACTACTGTGTGCCATGTTTGGTGAATTTTATGCAAGTAGATAGAAAAAATAAATCCTGGGTCTCATTCAGAAGCATTATCTACCGTTATTGGTTGTGCATGGATTCAAAATCTTATTCCTGTCAGTACTTGTAACAGTGATAAAGAAACAGTTCTTTATAATTGAGGTGATATTTTAAAAATTACTGGGAAGATTTGATGGGCAGTCAGTAGTAGATCCAGATATACTGGGAATAGAGCATATAAGTGGAAAGTGGAGTGGAAGCAGCTCTGTAAGTAATTCTGTCGTGACTGATAGTGGGAATGGATGAATGAGAGTAATCTAGGAAAACAAAGCCGGAACATAGAGACCAGCTTTCCATCCTCAAGAATAATTTGTATGCTGTTTGCATGTTGCTGGGAGGCACTTGGCAACCTTAAAGAGTAGACTATAGACCGATGGATATGCCAGAGCAGGAGATGTCTCATTTTCCTTGTGGTTAGAAGGCTTCTCCTAATTTCTTACTCTTTGTTGGTCGGAACTGCATGCAGATCAGTGCATGTCCTCTTGGGGGATCTGGTGGTGTGATTGTTATGATAGAGGGTGCCAAGCCAAGAAGCATCAATACGGAAAGAAAATCCTTTCTCATATCTGTTCGAACCAGGGTGCAGTTGGCTCAGAACAATACACAGGCAAGAGAAAAGGCTGGAGTCCAAGTAGTAGCCCCAAATTTCTTATGTTGTTAACCCCAACAGACCTGCTGGTGCTCACACAGAGAAGCATGCTAATTTCAGTACAATAAAGCCATGTCAACATAAGAAACAGGGTTAGGTAGGTCCTCAACATTTATTTTATTTTTAACTGCTACTGAATATTGTGAACATGTTAATTTGAAGGCATTCCCTCTCAGAAAGTTTTGGAAGTTGACAACCTGCTGGAAGATGAGTAATACAGATAATGGCTGTATTAAAAGAGATTCGAACTTTATTTAAACATACACTTTGTTCCTGAAGCAGAAATGGTCTTGAAGTTGGATGTGTCATGTTTGCCAGTGTTTCCAATGCAAACCTCAACCTCTGCTTCAACTGCTGACTCCCGTGAGACAGATTAAAGCAGAGAGAGAAACTCCTTGCAGTTTGGAAGAGCTGTCCTTCTCTCTTTCCTGTCTTCCAGACAGGAACTTCACTGGTAAAACTGACAAAGGCATAGTCCACATGCAAATCAAAAAGCACACCTATCTTATTTAAAAACAAACAAAAAACCCAAACACTGTTAAATTATGTGTAACAGTGCCACCTGCTGAATCCCATCCTAACACCTTTCTTCTCAAAGGTAATATGCATATGGATGAAATGGAGTTGGTCTTGATTCAGTTGCAGAGATAGGCCCTGGCAATTCCTGTATAGAGAATGCTACAACATAGTTTAAAATACTAAACTAAATACTCCTCTTCAGAGCATAAGATTGATTTGACTAAATTTATCATCACTCAAATGTAGAATACGGTCCTTAGAAATCATATGAAAAATTATTTTGTATGCTGTTAAATAAGCTTGATGCATTTTCCACTATTATTAACAGTGAGGTGTACAAAAATAAATTTGAATTGTGCTTCTAGTAGTAAGTAACTTGTCTAGAAAGTGGCAATGTTCTAAAGTTGCAAACAAAGCGAGATTCCCTGCTGAATTTCTGAATTTAGAAAAATTTGATTCTATCAAGAATACTGTCAAATAAGTCTAAAATGACTGAGACAGGCTGTCATGAGGCAGGCATTTTGTGGAAGTGAATGAATGCCTTTACTGCATTCAGCAGTTTGATACAACAGCCCCCATGCTGCCTAAAAATACTAACCATATTTTTGAAGCCATTATGGGCTGAATTCAGCCTGTCTTATTTATATTTATTTCCAGCTTTAAATGGTTCTGTTTATTTTAACACAACAGTATTGCAGAACAGTGCTACTGAGAGTATTTGGAGTTGAACCAGGCTCTGATTCTGAAGGACCATCCTGTGTATGGCAGATACTGGTGGTTTGGGTAACCTCAGTAACACCACATGGGTAAGGCTGGTATATGCAGTCCTGCATCCCTTGCACGTTCTAGTAGCTTTTTTTTTTTTTTTTTTTTTTCATCATATCATATATGAAAAAAGAT